AATATTTTCTATTCCAACAACTTTACAAGATGCATCATTACCCATCAGAACAGAACCAAAATTTACTGACCTGTAGGTGTCAAACCAATCTTTATTGGGTGTCATGTGATAGGAACATGTTGAATCCATAATCCAAGAATCTATTAAACGATCTGAACTGGATAAAACAGAAAGCATATCAACGTCACCACTCTCTGAATCTTCTTCTTCCACTACGTTTGCAGACTTTGATGCACCCTCTTTGTTCTCTGAATCCCCTTTCTTTTTCTCTGGACAGTCCCGTTTAAAGTGCCCCTTTTTCCCGCACTTGTAACACGAGACAGAGACGTCCTTCTTCTTCTTCCTCGACTTGGACCGGGCTTTATTGTTACCCGATCCATTCCGAGATTTGCTTCTTCCACGTTCCTGGTTACCTTTCACCACAAGCCCTTCACCTTGTGAAGCCTCATCACTGGCTTTCTTCCACTGATGAAAACCTATCAAAACACCTGTGACATCCTCCAACTCGAGGGTTTCTTTCCCCAACATCAGAGTCGTAACCAAATTCTCGTACGTAGGAGACGCCGGTAGGGAATTCAACAACATCAGCGCCTTGTCTTCGTCTTCGAACTTCACATCAACTCGCTTCAGATCGTTGATGATCTGATTGAACACATTGATGTGTTGGGTCAAATCCGAGCCCTCTGACATCTTAAGACCATATAGTTTTTGCTTAAGATAGAGCTTGTTCGTCAACGACTTGGACATATACTGACTTTCCAGTTTCAACCAAACTTCCGCCGGTGATTCCTCATCCATGACGTGATACATCACTTCATCAGCCAGACAAAGCCTAATAGTCGCCACAACCTTCACTTCCAATTCTTTCCAATCCATGTCGTCCATTCCTGCCGGTTGTTTTCCATATAATGCATTCATCATGCCCTACTGCACTAACAGGTCCTTCACCCTCCTTTGCCATAATCTGAAATTTCCAGTTCCGACGAACTTCATGATGTCAAATTTTTTAGAAGAAATCCCAGACATCGTAGTCTAGCTCTGATACCAGTTTTTGTGATCGTGCAGCAATTATGGTGAATAATAAGGAATCAAACAATTAAGAAATCAAGAGAAAATAACACAAAGAGATTTACGTGGTTCGGCAATGTGCCTACATCTACGAGAGCGAGTGGCCGTTCTTTTTTCATTATTAAAAGTAGGGTTACATCTTAAGTATTTATATAAACCTAATACGGACATATTTATAAAATTACCACTGTACCGTACCACGGGGGCGTTGCCCCCGCACCCCCAACTAATCAACGTCCCCTTTATACAAATCCTATAAGGCAGATGTCGTCGTGGGCATCTGCCTCCTTGCCATTATGCACACATACTCTAACGCGGACTTTCAAAGGTCCAAGCAAAAAAAAAGATAAATATATGCTACTAGCTTCGTAGTTTTAGTGCTGCTCAAGAATAAAATTGTGCAGTAATGAACTGGTGCAACATTTTCTTATTCTATACCATAGTTCTTCTTGTTATGGATTTTTTTTTTTAATATTTAGTCTTTGATTTTCAAGTTGGTTAATTTTTCATAGGAAAAATTGTTTTTTTAATTTTATTCTTGTTTTCAAAAGTAGTCAACTTATTAGGTTTCTAGAAGCTAGCCTATAATAGAAAGTAAAAGAATCGGAAAGGAAAAAAGATGCATGAATATAAAAAGAGGTAACGAAAACTTTATTTGAGAGAATTTAATAGTATTGTGATACAAAATTGTGTAGATAGGCTTAATAAACCAGTCATGAACACTTATATTATCGTATTTTCCTTTGTTTTGTCAAATCAATTTAACACCAATGCTATTACAGACTAACCTAAAAAGAGAAAATTGAACAATTACAATAGGAAAAACATGCTCACTTATAGAAAAAGGTAATGGAAACCTTATAATATAAAGGACTAGGACTTTGTCATGTGCTAAATTTATCTTTTATATGCAAATTTATTTTACTTTCATTTGGGCTTGCATGGTTTTTTGTTTGATTTCAATTCTCAATACAACTCTAGTTGGCTTTTGTTCTATCCGATGTGATAATTATCATTCTAATGTTTGATTTATTGGTTTGTGTCAAGATCAAAATTTTGTGATTACAGAGTGAAAAATATAAAATGCCCTTCTCACTATCCCGCCTTCAAAACAAAAGAAAGGGAGAAAATCTCCTCTTTCTCAAAAGACCTTTCCAACTAATCACACATCTCTGTAGGGATGCTTTCAAATTAGACTTGGTCTAGCGTTAGTTGAAACAAATGCGGTTGCACATAAAACTCTTTGTAGAACTTTCGACCACTAATCGATGTCAAGGAGAAATTGTTGTTTGTAGTATTCCAAATATAGTAAAGATACTTACTGAATTTTTTGATTTGTATTGTGTAACTTAGAATAAAACAGTAACAGTCTAGTGCAAAACAGTAACATAGAAAACTGAAACAGTTATAGAAGAATTAACGAAGGAGTTACATGTAACTGTTTGTTTAACTAATATAAATACTGACCCCGTAGTAGACTAGAAACTGAGATTGAGTTTTCTGCAAATCAAGGGTAGTGTATGACACTCTGTATTTAAGACAAATTTCGCCCCCACATACGGTGCTTATGAAAATCAAAGCGTCTGTCTCCCAAGATACAATGATCTCCTCTCGAATAGAAGTAGCACTCCAATCTACTCGCTCAGTGAACTAGAAATTATATTGTGTACTCTCCAAAAGCAGACTGCTAATAATGTATGAGTCTACCTTAAATGACTATGAATTTTATCGATGCAAAATGATTGTGATTGAGTTATTTATAGAGAGAATGGTGAATGATTTGGACAATCACCATATGAATGGATGCAACTCAGCAGACACATGTAGCTAGAAGACACCATTGATTAACTGTTCATCTATGAACATATACTATTCAAATTTCGAACTGGAGGGAAGCAAAAATTCGAGTCAGTGCGAATTCAAATCCAACCGTTACTGAAATTAAATTTTGGATTAAGAAATTCAGGCATAATTTATTAAACGAATTTTTTCCAAAAAGATAGGGTTTGGTCTAAATCAAATCTACACCCACATCCACATGGTCGTGGCGAGGTGGGCGGCTCGCGCGTGTATGGTTGAACCGAAGGCATCTAGACGCTCACTCCGCTCATAAATTTGTGGTACCTTTTGGAGCCTAATCTCATAGAGTAAATTTGGTCTATATATGCTTATGTAGAACTTCTTCCTCAACCAATGTGAAATTGGTGTCAAATCCCACATTGCATAACTTCTATTTTCACATTTCAAGAGGATCACTTTGAAGTCTATTTTCTCATTTATTTCTTACTCGATTTGAGAAAGTTAATATATTACGTTATTTATCTCACAGAGTAGAACACGAATCCACGAAGTTTATTTGAAACAATGAGCGAGTCTCACTTAATTTAGGCTCAAAAACGACCAAAAATCATATTTTAATTACTAAAATCTGTTTTTAGTCCAACAGAAATTACTCAATTAGTAGTTGAAGCAACCATTCCATAATTTTCTCTTTGTGTCTTTGTTCAAGAAGTTCCAATCACTCTCAAACAAAAGAAAATGCACTTATAGTCGAGGTAGGGTGTATCTTAGAATTTTATTTAATTATACTTCCTATTTTCTTGGTCGTAGATGAATTCAATGAGAGGGTTTTTTATTTGGCTGTTGAGTTACTTCTTCAAGTGCTAGAACTTAGTGTATTGTTGATTCAATGAGAGTACTAATGTGTACTATGCTATCTTATGCGTGAGATTCTTGAAATTTATAGTTCTATTGTGTTCATGTTTCAACCATACGTGTTATTCTATATATTGATGGTTATTGGTTATGATTCTAGCTTAGAAAAAAAAATAAAATTTATTTTTGTTCCAATGGATTTGAGAGAGGAGCGATAAAACCCAAAGTACAACCAACCCACCGAACCGGAGGCGGCCGGGAATTTGATGTAAAAAGGAAGTTGCCCTTCTTTATCTGTATCACCGAGTAAGACTTCATTGTTTTGGCTTAAGATCCGAGGACCGAATCGAGGCACTCATTACGGAACCGGTAGAACCGGAATGAGTTTCATAGCTGGGCAGGTGTTCATAAAAAGAAGATGATTGGCTATCTCGTGGAGATTCATTGTTGTTGGTAAGCCTTGTTCCACAACGGGAGTATTGTGATTGGTGTTTAGATGGTATGGTTAGACAGAAAGGTATTGTAACATAAGTTAAAAACTAGTAATAAGTATGTGTTCATTTTTTAGTCAAATATATGTTCAATGGGCACAGTAAAATGATTACTTATGTTGTTCGATTAAAAAATAGTACTCTTTTTGCACATTTCATTGATCATAAATGAAAACAAAACCATGTGACTACAAATCTAATCTCAGTTTTAGATTGAATTGTCCAGATAAAAAAGTCATTGGACACAAAAAGATAAGGTACATGGAGTGAGTGAGCACTATTACCGACCTTAGTTATACTATATTATTTAATATTTTGTATTTGATTAAGAGCTTCACATATGTTCAACTTCATTTATTAGAAATATATAACGTATTTCTAAGCAAAAAAAAATGTCATGTTTGTCCAAACAACGAATATGAATGAAAGAATTTTAATTTATTTCAAACGTATCACACAAAAGGTTCTATGGCTGTCATTTTGATCTCAAAATTTGAATTAGTAATATTATACTATTTTTTAACATGATTCATATACAACCCACGTGTGCATCAACTAATTACTATAAAAGTCAGATTTAAAATGTAGTGGTTTTAAAATAACAAAGATACAAAGTAAGGGCATAACACTTTTGAAGTTCTAATGACGGGTGATTTCAACAAGATATCAATCCCAAACACCTTAAAAGTTTTAATTTAACCTCCAAAAGTTTATAAGTTGACCTAAAACTTAGTGTTTTATCATACTACATAAAAAAACACTTTTGGGTACCATAGTCTTGTAATTTCAATTTGAAGAGAAAGGCGAAGGACACGGAGGAGCAGAAACTTCTACGACACCTTCAATCATCTGAATTACCTTCTTCATGGAAGGCCTCAAAGATGGATCCTCTTGAATGCACCAAATTGCCACCATCACAAGCCTCGCCAACCTCCTCATGTCATTTCTTGCCTCCTCATCATTTTCTACCAGCTTATCTAATCTTTGAAGCTTATAGCAGTCATAAGCCCAATCAATCAGTATTGCTTCCTCTTCATTCTCCTTTTCCATTTCAACGTTCTTCCTGCAACAAATGATCTCTAATAACAGGACCCCGTAGCTGTAAACATCCACTTTTGCGTTAATCGGTGTGCTTCTGAACCATTCTGGTGCAACATACCCTTTGGTCCCTCTAATGGCTGTATTAGTCCTCGTCTGATCATTCATCAAAAGCTTTGCCAATCCAAAGTCTGAAATTCTCGCGGTAAATGAATCGTCCAGTAGAATATTCTGTGGCTTAATGTCACAATGGATGATTTGTGTGCTACATTCCTCGTGCAAATACATGATCCCCTTTGCAATCCCAAGTGCCATTTGTGTTCGTTTGTCCCAATCAGGCGTCGAATTTCCAAAGAGGAAGCTAGCCAATGTACCGTTGCTCATGAACTCATAGACTAAAAGCCTGTGAGGACCTTCCTCACAGAATCCAAGCAATCTAACCAAATTCTTGTGATGGGTCTTGGCTATCGCGGTTATTTCTGTCTTAAATTCCTTCTCGCTTTCTTGTACCAACTTGTTTAACTGTTTAACTGCAACAATAGTACTTGAAGTACTTGTTGATGCTAACACCCCTTTATATACAGTTCCAAAAGCACCTCTCCCTAGTTCTTCCTTAAATCCTTCTGTGGCTAGTCTGAGATCTTCAAAAGTGAAAGCACGAAGATTTGTCTCAATAATAGTCGAAAGACTCGAAACCCTGTTAAGTTTCTGGATTTTATGGTATGAAGAGAAAGCAACTATAGCAATTAAAGGAATAAGTAGAAAGTTGAGAAAAACTGAGCCACCCAAAAGAAGTGATCCCACTAGAATTAGGGTAGCTTGATCTTTCTTCCCCTTGCCTGCTTCAGGGAAACAAGTGTTACCAGGTGAAACTTCAGACTTGAGTAATTTGATGAGAGCCTTCCCACTCCGATTTCGGTTCACCCTGCCATTGGACAGAGGCAGTTTCTTCTTGTGGCATATCCCTTCTGCAATGACAGCAACCACACAATTGCAGTCGTCCAAACAAGAACTGGTGCATTTATCCTCGTTGAATGGCAACATCTCGAAATTCGCAGAATTAGGCCAAAATGTGTTGGACAGCACACGCATTTCATATAGATCTCTTGGGTTGTTTGAAGCATTTTGCTCACATTGTTGAACTTTGTCTTGATTGCACCCATTGAACTTGTTATTTGGATCTACAAAAGAAAATCCAGGAAGGCACTCACAAACCGGCCTTCCATTTGCGCCAAGTATGCAGTAGCTGTTAAATCCACAAGTACCACCACCTCTCTCGCCCCGAATGTCTGAGCATATATCGTTTGGGATGGACCACACACGGCTCCATGTCTCATCCAAGCTCCCACTTCTCGGAGCCTTGCGATGAGCGTATTGTGTGAAAACCCCGTCATATTCAAGTATCGCCCTGTGGTAGAATTCTTTTGTTGGGACTATATCTCCTGAAGTAAGGTTTTTAATATCTCCATTCCTTCGAACAATATAAATGTAACCTGTTTGATTAAAAACTACCAGGTATCCAGAATTCATCGGGACACTTCCACCGAAAGTGTCACTGATGTAATAAGCTTCATATGCATACTCTGTTGGCAAGGCAATGGTATTAAGCACAAGATTTCCATCCGGTAGCAAACGGAGTTGGAACCGTCCCTTCGAGTAGTTGCTTTCTTTTTGCCTGGAAGATAGCATTCCACCGGTTTCCAGCACTTGAGTTGGCAAGATGGTGTCAGTTGGATGCTTGAAGCTCTCCCACAGATATCCAGAAGGTTCGGAACTATTACCTGCCAGAACAAAGTTACCAGTGTCCATCATAGCAGCATAATCAACCCTGCCAGGGAAGGGCTGTGGTTTCCACACGACAACGCCTTGTGGATCAGAAAGTATCAACTGGCCATCAAGTGTAAGATCGATTTTCGACCCTTCTGGTGCTGGATTATCGCCATTTGCAAACCAAACAAGAGTCTTATTGGGAATTTTGTCGAACCAGATAGCAAGCAAAAACAGATTTTGATTCTCAATACGGCGAAATCCAAAGGCAAAATCACCCAAAGGCGATTGCCATGAAGAAGAGCGCTCAGAAGCTTTTATGGAGGATCCCAAACTAATGTTCTCATATGCTTCATTAGATGCTACAAGTGAGAGAAGAAAAAGAAGCCAGATGATACAGAATCGGTGAAAAATATGAGGGACCATTTTTTTTTCTGTTGAATCTGAATGAAATTGCAGGAAAGTTTATGGATATATAGAGCCACTTTTGTAATTAGAAATTAAACTTCGACCCCCACGGGTTTAACACATCGCATTGCAATGTGATGTGACATATATCACTGATAAAAAGTTGGCTTTTTCAAAAAGAAATTGGAGAAATTTTTGCATAGGTCTAACACATCACATGATTTTGGTGTATATCAGATGTCCTGATTTCGAATTTTGATAATTTTTTTAAGTTGGACTATGAGAGATTTGTCTATCATGAATACTATAATTCCGACGTAGATAATTTGTTTTTGATAGAACTGGAGAAAGAATTAGTCTAAATACATATAAATTGACCCGAACACTCGTAGTCGTCTTAGGCCGATCGAGCTGTGATCCCCGAGAGTCCGTCCAGCACTTAAGACTTGTGTTCTAGGCAAGGGACCTAGGTTGGGTTTGAACAAAAAAAAAATGATGTTGGTGTACATTGATCACCAATAAAAAATTGTATGATTCTAATGAATAACTGTCATCAATCACTTTCTTACAATTATTTTTAAAATTTAATTTTTTATCGATGAAGAATTTGAGGTCTTCTATGGAATTTTCGTGACACTGGGTTCAATAAAGTTGGGTGGTTAGTTGTTGACTGGACCGATTCCCATTATTACTCCATATTCAAGTCTAAAAAATGCAGGCATCCGTGTTGATTTTTCTTCTTCTACCAATGACCAATTGGTGGACGAAATTCTTCTTTCACTAACATTTCATTACCGGCGAAGTAGTTCCGGAAGTTAGGTCACCGTCGTTATAATTTGGATGGAAGAGAGTGGGTCAGTCCAGTAGGTCTCTAAATTATGTCGTGCATCGCTGAAGAAGGTTTGTCCATCGTCAGAGTTTGCACAAAGAGAGATGAGAGACTGAGGGGAATGACATAGATTTGTAAGAAACTAAGAGAGGTGAGACAATTAATAGAAAAAAGAGAAAGAGTTTGGGCGTGATTGAGTGCTAGAGAGAGAAGGAAGAGAGATTTGGGACGTTAATTATGAATAAAGAGTAAGAAAATAGCGTGATTGAGGGGAATTCCAAATTAAAACGTTTAGGTGGGATAATTTTAAAACGATCTGATAATTAAAAAAAAAAAATGTTGTTATGTGAGAAAACAAAATTCAGTACTCACTATAGACCGTCAGATCAGTATTTGTGAGATGATCTGAACCGTCTTTTATGTTGAAATTATGTTGTCCATTAGATATGTTTATGTTTTGTCTCAAAACGATTTGAACTTCTCTTTATCTCTAAAATTCAAACTCTACTCTACTTTATTATATAAATATACTAGTAATAACTCGTGTCTGAAAGCACTAAGCAACTTAAAAATTTCGATCACCGGTTATGCAATATAAATATTTAAAAAATACTTTATTTTTGTATTATTTTCTTTAGTTACACAAATCAAAATTAAATTGAAAACACTATTTTTTTAAAAATTTTGACAAAACTTCTCTAAAAACACGACCCCCTAAAAATATCAACATGTACACAATTTATATATTTAATCATTATACCTAAAAAATATCTTTTTTTTTGTAAGAGTCGATATTGACATGTGTGTGTTGGCGGGTGTATAGAGAGAATGAGTTATATGAGAGATATGATAAACTTATGAGAGATGAGAATATGATATAGAGAGAGATTAGGGTATTAATGGGTATTAGATGTATTATGTTATAATTATTATTATATATAGAAGATAGAGTTATATGAAAGATGAGATTGTGTGTAAGAGAAAGAGATGTAAAAGAAATAAAAATTCAATTATGATCATATAGATATAAATATAGATAGAAATATATAGGTTGACATACATGGACAGAGCTACACAGGGGTGGGGGTGGACATGGGTCCATCCTCAAATAGATATATTCTAAAAGTTATACACATATATATAATTATTTAGTCTTTTTTATTATAATATGACTTTCTCCAGATGAACTTCATTTTATTATGAATTTTCGCAAGTGAAAGTGCTTTCAATTGATATTCATTTGATTTTGTTTTTTCTACTAAAAATTATCTTTTATTTTTATTCGAGTATTGATTATAGTCTTTATTATGTATCAATCGATTTTTAATTCTTTTACTATGTCTCTTAGATTTTAGTTTAATAGTTTTATTATACTAATATTTTAGTGATAATGTTTAAAACATCATTTATTAAATAAATTTAATATATTGTTAGTGAATAATTAATATTTTTTAATTATAAAAATGACAATTAACTTCACTTTTTACATTGGTGATAATTAGTCAAATAATAATAATATATAATATATATTATTTTTTGGCCCTTTTATGTTAAATAGATTTCATGTATCAAATATGATATAATAAATATAAATATATTATACAGTGTTATTGGTTAATAGGAAAAAAATTAGTGTATAATTAAAGTGTCTACCCTCAATAAAATTCTTTACTCTACTCCAGATGACATATGTTAATGAATCTATAATTTATTATAAATAATTCTTGTTATTGTATTTTGGTATTATTATATATATCTATATAATAAAGTAGTTAATTTAGTTTGTCTTGAGTTTTTCGCGACTCAGATCGATTCAGTATTATTGATCTGACGATCCAAATTAATTTATATTCCAACAAGACTCTACTATATTCATTTTATCTCTTCTCATCCCCGTTCAAACCATTGGAGAAATTGACTAAAATTCTACTACATTCATTTTATCTCTGTTCATCCTCATTCAAACTATTGGAGAGTTTGACTTGGACAGTTATATATATATTAGCAATTGCCCGTGTCTAAAGGCAAGACGTTATAAACAAAAAAATAAAAAACAAACACATGTGCATTAAGAGACTGTATACCATAAAAAATTGTCAATTATAAACAAATACATGTGCACTGCATTACTCGAAAAAAATGAACAAAAATTTTTTCAAAGCAACAACACATATACAAATACATAAGAAAAAAAATACTAATAGAACCAAATCTGGAATATTGTTCAGCGAAATAAAGTAGCAGCAAGAGAGAGAAAGAGTAGCAGCAACCGCAAACAAAATCCGGAGTCAAGAATTGAAATTACCCAATGTCACACAATATCTGCATAAATATAAAATTGAATCAACAACCATAAAATTCACTAAAGGCCAACAGTTGAAAATTCAATTTCCTGCGGCAGAAGCTTGAGGGTCAAAAACGCCATGAAAGATCTCATTATATATGTATACTATCTCTTCCATTTTTTATAGGAAAAGCAAAGAAAAGAAACTAACCGNCGTTACTCGAAAAAAATGAACAAAAAATTTTTCAAAGCAACAACACATATACAAATACATAAGAAAAAAAATACTAATAGAACCAAATCTAGAATATTGTTCGGCGAAATAAAGTTGCAGCAAGAGAGAGAAAGAGTAGCAGCAACCGCAAACGAAATCCAGAGTCAAGAATTGAAATTACCCAATGTCACACAATATCTGCATAAATATAAAATGAGTAATGCTAGATAGACTTAAAAACTAGACTTAAAAATTAGACTTGATAATCTCAACCATTGAATAGATAGTGGATCCTAATAAATGATGGGACCCACAGTGAAATCAATGGTTGAGATTATCAAGTCTAATTTTTAAGTCTACTTTTTAAGTCCATGTAGCATTGCTCATATAAAATTGAATCAACAACCATAAAATTCACTAAAGGCCAACAGTTGAAAATTCAATTTCCTGCGGCAGAAGCTTGAGGGTCAAAAACGCCATGAAAGATCTCATTATATATGTATACTATCTCTTCCATTTTTTATAGGAAAAGCAAAGAAAAGAAACTAACCGACCATTAACTGCTTTTTGTCCTTCAAAGCCAACTCAGTTGCTTCTTTAGCCTGATAATAGTTACAGGCCAAGAGTTTTAATATCACCAAAGTAACAACTGCCAATGGAGAAATGGAAGAACAAAAATTTGGCACACATCTATCTTAAAGAATACACATTGCAGATAATATTTACTAAAATCTAAGAAAATCATGTAAAAGAACAGAAATTTTTCACACCCACATACTCATGGAGGTATAGATCAACTCAAGCTTTCAAGTGCTTCTACGAATAGCTAGTAAAATATACACAAATCGCATTGCTTTTCAGTTCCATTGGTTAGACATAATCAAAAGATCCAAGGCAACAAATATGACTACCCAAGAGGTGTTTGATAATCCAAATGAAACAAAAGCAAGGATCCTTAAAAGCATTAACCAACTCTACTGCAGCGCTGGACCTTGAATATGCTGCAGTAGGGCTCCTGTTGGCCATTAAAATATGCCTAACTCAACCCCCAGTAAGAGTCACAAAGGATCCAACAAAAGCTTCATTTGGTCCCAATTCCAAACAATCCCAACGGAATTAAAATTTGCTTAGATTCAAGAGCTCCAAACACAAAGTCACATAGCAATGCTTAAACAAATAGCACAAAATACAAACAATGTTGCACTCTCCAGATAGCCCAGAAAACATGGAACTGTTCGCAGATTCAATGTTTCATATCATGACTATTGGCTCATATATCCAAAACTAAACGATTAATCCATATCACAGAGGTCAAAAGTAATTAATCCTACACAAAATACATACTGTAATGAATGAGCATTAGGTAATAAAAAATCACTCGCATACCGTTAATGTCTTCTTCCTCCAATAACGGAAAATCCAAGCAAGTCTCTAGATGATGCGCAATATTCCTTGCAAACGCCAACACCTCCTCAGTAATTCCGACTGCGTCTACAATTTGATCTTCTGATCCAATTGCTGCCGGCTACAGAAGCCCCACTGACACCTCCAATCCATAATCATCGGTCACTTGCTGCATCAAGCTGTTGACTTCACCCTCCGGTGTGGAAAGCAAAGTGCTTCCGGCCATGGAACTCTCCATGAATTCCGCCTGGACCTCCATATTCACAAACATATACAATCATTTCAGTTCATATTTCATTCAAAACAATTCAATTCACAAATCTTCCCCCACCCCACCCCTAAATTTCTTTAAGATAAATTAACACAGACCTAAAACAAAATCAATATATGGGTGTGTCAGTGTGTGTCAAGAGATGATATCACATATAAACACAAACCTTGAGAGATGGGTGGAGAGGGAGGCATACCTGGATCACGGTGCCTTAGCGTTGCGATGCTATTGACGATGGGGAGAGGAAAGAGAAGTTGCATTTACGTTGGAGAAGGGAGACTAAGATAAGAGAGAGAAGAGAGATATCAGGAGAGATAAGAGTCTAGAGTTTTACGAAAAGACTCTTCTTCATGGGCGGGAAATGGTAATTTAGTACTCACTGTTGACCGTTTGATTAAAATTTTTGAGATGATTTGAACCGTTTTTTTATGTTGAGATTATATTGTCCGTTGGATGTGTTTATGTTTTGTCTCAAAACGATCTGGACCATTCTTTGTCTATTGGATTCAAACTTCGTTCTACTTTATTATATAGATATATATATACACAAATAAGATAGAGGCAATTTCAAATTTCCCAAATTAAAATTAACACTCTCAATTCAGAAAAGCAGATTAATAGCTTAGATTTTAATTAACATTTAGATATATGGTTTAGATCTTATTTAAATTCATCTAATCTAATCTAATGACTCACAATACATTCCACCCAAATCCCGCCCAAAAATTAAAACTCACTATACAAAAGTCCAATAAAGTCGTTCTCTCTTCTCTCCTACGATAGACGCTCTCGCCAAAAAACCACACACACACACACACAACAACAGACTCTCTCTCGCTCTCTCCTATGACAGTCTGGCTCACCTCACCGTCGACGATGACCACTCCCCCAGGCAAGTCTCTGTCTCTTTCTCACGACACACACTCATACACACACACACATTCGAACCCATATACACACACACACCATATACACACACACAACATCACACACATTTCAAAAAAAAAAATTTGTTTTTTGTGTGTTTGTATATTTTCGTGGAAAAGGGTTATTTGGGTTAGGATTTTCTGAAGAAATTTTTGTTTGATTTGAGTGAAACACCATATCTGTGAGAAAAAATTTGAAGAACTGATAAAGCCAATAAATTACTAGGGATTCGGTAAAATTTCAAGCACAAGCATGAGGTGTTTTAATGTATCTATAGTGTCTTAATAAGTTTGTTACTGGGAATGGTGATTAAAATTTAAATGATTATGTATATCAACTGTCCTTTTCTTTTTCCAAATTAATGATGGGATATGATTGGTATACAAAATTTAAGATGGAGATGGGATTTAGAGAATACCTGAATGTTTTGGGTTAAATTCGGTCTTAAGTGTTATGGGTGTAAATTTTTCATCACATTGTGATATGAAATCCTCCCCAAGAAAACATGAAGAGGGGCTGGAGTTGAAAAATTCGAGACTTTGTCCGCATAAAGGAGAAGCTACACATATGGGGTACTTTTTTTCATTTCCAAGTTCTGTTTACTTATTAGGTTCTTACTATTATTATTTCTATTTTGAGATTGTTGTCATTCATTACTATTTTAATATTGCACATGATTGAAGATCATCTCTATTGTTTTCTTTTGCATGTACAATGGGGTATGGATTCACTTAATTGTGTAACTACCTAAATAACATTAATTTTTGTTGTTAATTAATTATTACCAAATCTAATATTATTCCAATGTGACACCTTTCTGAATAAGTGGTAGCACTTCTTAATGTAAAAGCATCAATGTAATTATTGTTATATTGATTTGTTTGGATTCAACTCATTACAATTTAGTTGTTTTTGTTGTTGAGAGTTTTGATGGGGTTTAGATATTTTCATGCTTGAATTGGATGTGGATACCTATGAAGCACAAACACTCTCAAATTGTGTGATTAATTAAAAGGCAGAAAAAATAAAATAATGCTTGAGCTATTTAACTTCGAAGATCAGTGTTCGATTTTTTTTTGTGTTAGACAATGCCTTCATATTACTCGAAGTCCGCTAATGCACTGCATGCAACAATTGTTCTTTTGCACAGGTACTTTAATGACATGCAATGATTTGAGTTGCTCCTTTGTTTCAAAAAAACTTGATTCCCCTATTTTACGATGATAATGTTTTTAGTCAATTGACTCTTTAATTTGGTGCTTAGTCATTTTCTCTCTCTCTATCTCTTTGGTATATTTCTTCTTTTTGAAATGTAATGAGTTTCTTTATTTGTTGGCTTTCAGATTGAAGGTGTAAAGAAAGACCATTTGGCCTTGGTTTTGTCGATTGCTTTTATTGATTTCTGGTAGTAATTTGGTCTTGGCTTCATTGATTTCAGTTTAATTTTACTTAGTGCAATTCAGACGGTTTCACGATTTTATGGAAATTGTTCTGATTGTTTAGTTGAATTTTTTTCTTATAATGTTTAGTCAATTTTTGAGGAACCATAGGCCTAGAAATTCAAGTTTAGTTCTTCATGGTGATTTTTTGTCACATCTTTTTCATTTTTTCAGAATTCGAAATATTTATGGATTGACGAGTCTATATATCCCTGTTTGTATCTTGAAATTAATGGTTTGAAAAGCGTTTACTGCCAACTGGTATTGTGATCATACCATAATGACCGAATGTATGACCTAGGATACATATGGATAAATGTTTTAGTGGTGAAACACTGGTGAAGTGGATTGGGGTGATTGTTTTGTGCAATTGTGGTGGTGATAGATTAGGTTTTATGGAGTGCTGCAACAACCAATTATGACTTTCTAGAAAGTTTTTCATTGTTACTCTTCAAGTTATCTTTTTTTTTTTTGGTTATTTTTTCTTGGTGTAGTGTATGAAGTTGATGCAACTTAGATGAGAGATGTTTCTTGCTTTGTTTAATTTTATAATAAGTTCGTAATACCCATAAAAAGCAAATAAAGAGTAAGAAGTGTACTCAAAATTGTAATGATGTCTTTATTAATTAATTGGGGTCCATTGGGGTCCACATTGACGCAAAATAAATAGATGGTTAAACTATAATTCTTTTTGTTTTTTTTATAACCAAGGGAGAATATAATGAGAAATATGTGTGATTTTATGTGAGTTTTTGTGTTGTCCAAAGAAAACAGTTTGTTGTTTGGTCATTGAATGCATGAACATTACTGGGTCTATGTTATAGTAGTTGGTAAATCTTTTTATTGTATTAAATGTTTGGGTTAGTGCAGTAGTTGATAAATAGCGGTAATAACGATATTAACGTAATGTGATAAGATTATTGATTTAAGGTAGTGTTTATTTACATAAAGGTTTGATTTTGAGTTGTACACATCGGTTGGTATTGTCAATTAGATCATGTTTTCAAGGAGAACTCTATCGAATTTTTTTTAAAGATAAAAGTTAGTTTATATTAACTACTGAGATTTTATGTATTACACAAATTATTTTGATTTGATATTCACATGTATAGTCATAACTATATGTAATATATTATTGATAGTAGTATTGTTGAACAAGTGATTTTATAAAGAAATTTATACTTCTCAGTTTCCTGAATGATCTCTCTTTTATTTGGTATGCCTTTTAATTAACCATAATTTTTTTTTGTTACTCCGTGCTTTCAAGCACGGGCAATTGCTAGTATATATATATAAAGAGAGTTATATGAGAGATGAAAGAGTGTGTGTTTAAAACGTGTGAGAAATAACAAAGAGAGTATGAGATAGAGGGAGAGAGAGTTGTATCAGTTAGTATGAGATAGGGAGAGAGAAGAGATGAGATAGTGTATTTAAAATATCTAAGAAATAAAAGAGAGAGCGAGAGAGAGTTATATGAGAGATAGGAGTGTTAGAGTCAAGTCCAATTATGATTGTCAGATCAGTATTTATGAGATAATCTGAACCATATTTTATGTTGGGATTACGTTATCTGTTGAATTTGTTTATGTTTTGTCTCAAAACGATCTGAACCTCTCTTTGTCTCCAGAATTCAAACTTCGTTTTACTTTATTATATAGATTGAAAAATAGTAATATTAAAAAAATATTAACATTCTAAATAAAAAAAATAGTAATATTAAATATTAACATTTCAGAAATAATAACATGTAATATTAACAGTAATATACTCAATAAAAAATAGTAACATGAAAAATTGAACAAAATTTAGGATCAAATCAATAACACACTGAACATTTTTAAACAATATGAATAACTGATGATGCATAGGAGAGAAAAACAGTAACATACTCACTAAAAAAAATAGTAACATGAAACATTGAACAAAACTGAGAGTCAGACCAATAACAAACTGAATATTTTTTAAACACATGGGCGATGGATTCAAACCAAAAAATAATAACATTAAAAAAAACACGTCACAACTGCTCAGCAGAGAGAAAATCAGAGAAGCCTCCAAAAAATCCTTGGCAAATCACTCATCCATACATTAAGATCTCTCTCTCTCTCTCTCTCTCTCACACACACACACAAACAAACAAACATTGTACTGTTAGTATTAAAGCAAACTCCTCCACTCCACATACTACTATACTACATGATCACATCGCACACAATCATCCTATTTGATTAAAAACCAACAAAATCTAATAAAACAAAGTGAACCTGTTTTTACTACTAACAAAAAAATTAACCCTAATCTCCTCATAGCTTCTCGTCCATTCCTCAATCAACACGGTTGTAAACCCGCCCAATCTCAAAAATTAGAGCACTGACCATTTCATTCCCAATCGCTGAAGCGGGTAGACTCGGGACCCCTAGGACCTCCAATCTCACCGTTCTCTTTATTCACATACTTTTTTATCATGTTACTACTTTTTTTTCATGGTACGACTTTTCAATATTATTATTTTTTTTGTTTAGCATATTACTGTTAATATTGTATGTTACTATTTCTAAAATGTTAATATTGAATGTTACCATTGTTTGTTTTATTTTAATATTCAATGTTACTATTTTTTGT